AGATGACAAGGTCTTCGTCGTGAGCGGAATACTACATGTCGCACGCGTGCCGTGAGGGGACCACGGAACTATTGGCGCTTGGAACTACCGCGGATTCGAGGCTATATATACCGGACGTTTGCAGGGGTGTGCGGGAGAATGAAACTCCGAAGAAGCTGGCAACCAGAGCAAAGCAAGGATTGCTTGTCCTGGTTGTGCGTGCACACCAACCCGCCCGCGCATTTCGAGACTTCTCGATGCACCTTGTTCTTGGCCATCAGAGAAAAACCCACCTGACAGCATTGTGATCATGCCCGTAGCCACGCGCACATAAATATTGTAAATGAGGCGACGTTTCCTCCCTGGACGATGCTGGAGCACTCTCCCCTGCCCACTTGCTTCTTGTCAGCGGACCAGACGAAAATGACGAAGCTGGAAACAAAGAGAACCAAGATAACGCTTGTAAAGCCCGGGCCTAGCGAATATCGACGTCCAGATGGGGGCGCACGTGAAGGACAACAACGGGAGACATTGCAATGCGCTTTGAGCACAGGCGGGGCTACCAGTAAAGAGGGCGGTGTGTCTGCAGGTACGAAATACGAAGAATAGGCTAATGTACGTACACTCCTCTCACGCCCTTTGCTGGGCTCCAACCAAGGATGAATGCAAACTGGCGGCATGTCGCTTCAGCTACTAGAGCTCGACGCTGAAGCATAGCCGACCAGCAATTCGGAAGCCATACACGCGTTAGTTGAAACATCGGCCTTGCAACCCAAGCTCCAGAGAGAGTCTGCCATATTGCCGCCGCAGGGGCAGCATGACTAGGTGTGTAGCCGTGCATGACGCTCATTGATCTCGGGTGGGCTTTCTGCTGCTGGTCTGGATGGTTTGTTGAAATGTTTTGTCGAGTGTGCGGGTGCTGAGCGTGGGTAGCGGTGATACCATCCCCGGCTTCTGCTTCCTCCCCAACGTCTTGGCGTCGAGCGAACCTGAACGTGGTTGGAGATTTCCATTAAAACACGTTGACATTTGGAAACTTCACGGTGGAAAGCGAGATAGGAACTGCCAGGCCTTCATCCAGGACCCTCTCTTCCTACAAGCAGATGATTGTTGTTGGTCAAGCCTGCGTACCCCAGAGAATGCCGCACTCACTCAAACGGCTCGAATCACCAACACTGCTGTTCACCAGACAGAGTGGTCACGTTGGAGGCCATAGCAAGGGAACCGATCCCAAAACACACCCAAAACTGGTCCTTCGGGCGACTTCAACGATAGAAGGGTGGTTGTTGAGGCCTGCTGCCTCTCGACTCCGGATGGGACATGCGTAAGACACCAAATCTATCAAGATTGCCCCCAAGGCGTGGACGAATGTCGGCCCCAGCAAAAGCTCTGTGTATGCGTTCGAAGTGTGTGAGGCGACGGATTTGACGGTCGCAATATTGAGGGCACACGAGCGTGGTGATATAAGGTTGTAGCAACGGTGACCACACCTCCTGAAATTACCGTGTACTGCTTCGAGAAGTTTTGATACAGGCACGCAGTCTTGTCTGCTACGACTCTCGACGACAGAAGACAGCTAAAATGTTGTACCACCACCGTTGCCAAGACGCTTCAACGGCCGGTTTCGATACGACAGCCATGAAATTAATCGTGGTGGACACGAGATCGGCAAGCGATGAGCAGAGCATTGACGGCATACCGTGAAAACCATGACGCCCGTGCAGGTGAGCGAAAAGGCTCGCCGCCAGACAGACCGCCAGCAGCTGGAAACAAACGGAGCACGCTAGCAGCGCCCTCATCTCGATCCCCGCACGCCTCGCGCTCGCTCTCGAATCAGGATGGAACGCCAGGTATAACGTGGCAAAGGAGCATCGCACAGTGGCGATGATCTGCACCGCCGTGAAGGTTTGAACTGTTCCAAGCGAGCGATGAGTGAAATAATATATGCTTCGTTGGTAATTACCGCCGTTGGGTAGAGAATACCACGAGCCCGAGATGTCCGAGGGAGTCGTCTGAAAGTTGATGGGGCAGCCATATGACTCTGGCGTTTCGCCAAGCATGCCTAGCGTACCTATTACGTACACTGGGCTTGAATTGTGTACAATCCTACCCATCTATCTGCAGTGTACAAGAACGTGACCGGGTTGCAGGTTTTAGGGTCATGGTTGTTGCTGCTGGCGAAATCATCGCCACTTGTTCCATGCGAGTCATGCTACGGTAGGGGGGGCACTCCGAATTACATCACGCGATAACTTAGGTTATGTATTGGGAAAATATTGTATTCGCAGACCGCCGTGTGGAGATTTCCGTTGGTGGCCGGCCCGTGGATGGTTAGGCCAATGGCTGTAAGATGTCCTTTCATGGAAACTATCCTCAACATCAACTGATAACTGCATCGTGCACCTCTGCCAATACGCTGGAAAAACATCGATCTGGGCATTCTGGTACATGAGCTCCTTCAAAGTACAATGGGCGTCTCGCAGAGCTTCGTTGTTTCCAAGACACCGTCCTTGGTTTGCAGATACGCATGTGAAACACTTGCAGGCATGTCTCAATCGCTATAAACCGCCTGAGTCCACAGATGGGGTCCGTAATCGTGTAATTCAAGGGGCGTTTACGTACAAGTACACACGTTGCCCTTGATGCAAACATAACATTTCAGCGCACCAAGGTGATCATCAAGTAGCCGAGAACGGCCGGGAACCCTTTAGAAAGTTTGGGAAACCAATAGTCGAACTGTTACCGCCGAAGACTTGTGTACCTCCTCGATATCTTTTTATTCATACATATTTCCGACGTGCCACATCGACGACCCAAAACACGTATTCGAGACTACATTATTTTCCAGGTGTACATGAAATCCTCATCTACACGTAACCCTGTTCATGTTTACGTATATACTGCTCTGCCCTGATGGGTTCATTGTCCACGCACAAGTCCCTTGAAAATATGGCAAACGTCGCCGCTCACGACGTGATCGGCCGCGGAACCCCACGACAGCACGCACATTGATTGTCATTGTAAACGAAACGAAAAGTTTTCCCTAACGTCCCGAACGTGCTCTGAAACAAACCAACCCTTCTGTTTCATCTTTCGCCAAAGTTGTGTTCAGTATCTATACCGTAGAGCAGCAATAGCACAAGTACCCCGAAAAACGACTATATGCGTCGTCGTGCATTGAAACACTCTTGACTACTGTTGTAGACTCAACTTCCAATCCAATTGAGGACCACCCTACATTGAGCTCATTGCAGCCGTTCACAAATATATGCCACCGTTGGGCTCATACAACAATAAAATATACCAGAGGAAGATGACGAAAGGCTACAATCACTCCTGTCATAGACCGTCGTATTGGTGGCCGGAATCCGTACACGCCATACACGTCCATGTTGAAAGGTCTCTCGTTGATGCGTTCAAGGCTATTTCGTTGATGATCGACCCCGCGTGCGCTCTAGTATGACCGGTTTCCATTTTTGTGTGCCACCTCGAGGAAAGATGGTTCCATGTACCCCGTTCACGAGATCTACGAGGGAACCACGAGCAGCGCCATCGCTGAAGGTGTACTTTGCATTGTCGGGATCATCGAGCCACTTCGCGTTTATTGAAGATGGTGGGTGTGGACGGTCCGCCATCATGACGTAAGCGGTAGTGCGGCCGGTCGTATCCTGGACATCTTGCGTGACGTTCAGGCTCTTGAACTGGCTTGGGGTCAAGTTTGACTGGAAATAACTGGGCACCCCCCCTGCTGTTGTGATGCCCTCTCGTCCCGCTGCCTGGCAAATTAGCCTGATATTTTCCCTGTATCAAGAGGTTGCGACACGTGGGGTACAGGAAAATTTGGAATATCAGGAGAAACAACCCCGAGTGTGCATACAGGACCATGAGACTCAAAATCTTCCGACCGTACAACCGACATGCTTCATTCCCCCCTCTCACGTGCCCGTAATTCATTGGCATTTATATATACGCGACTCTGGTGTGCCGACGGTATTCAGAATGAGACACAAAGGCATTCAGAATGAAACACAAATATCTCACTTCTTACTCTTCGTTCGGAGTACCGTGGACCCGGAAAGTGGGCCCTCGCTGTTCTTGAGGCCCTTGGGTTCCGATTGATGGTGGCCTTCGTCTGCCCCGCTGGTCGCAATCACGTTGGCAGTACGAGGAGTACGTACAGGGCACGGTGGTTCACATCGGGTATCTTTGAACAAACGGATACCAACAGTAGCACAAGGTTTCCCGAAACACCTGCCGTGTAGCTGGTTGACCATATTCTTCTTGGATTTTCTTGCGGCCGCCTGGTCATTTTCCCTGGCACCGCTGCTGGAGAGAAACGGATTTTGGCACGAGAACAGGTAACAAAGGATCTGGTGGAGTGCCGATGCAGTGCGGTGGTCCGTACCTTGGAGATCTACGGTTTCGGCGATGGCGCTGGACGGTCGAGGAGGCTAACGACAACCCGAACACTGATGTATGTTGGAAATGCGCTGATCGGTCAAGAAGGTCAAGGATCGGCCAAACTCATCTCGGAACAGAGCTGATCGATCGAGGAGGCGAAAGGTGGAGGAGGCCAGGGACACACGTTTTGCAATGGTGCCCCGAAAGGGCAACAGTTTTGGAATGGGGCCGAGTTACCGAGGAGACGAGCGATAGCCCGGACACAATTTTCCTGCAACACATACCCCTTACAAGCGTGAAGACACTCTTGGGCCTGCTCATTTGTTGGCGGCCAGCTTTCAACTCTCTGAGGAAAAGGGCCGCTCGTTCTAAACGCAACGACCCGATGTGAGCACATAAATTTGTTTCCATTTATGTCACTGCACAGATTTGTCCCGTTGTCCAGTTCTCACAATACAACGCGTTCACTTATGAGTTGCATGCTCGGGTGACACAGAGAACCCCGTTGGTACACGTCACGGCGGTTTTCCAGGTTGGGGTGATCAACTTGCTAGCGGGTACAGACAGGACTAAACACGAGATGAAAATATCTAACTCAAACAGTTGAAACCTTGTCACCAACAAAGCAGCACGCTTCGTGTGAGCTGGAACATCGCATGTACGGGGTATGTGAACTAGGAAAATTGTGTCCGGGCTATCCCTCGTCTCCTCGATAACTCGACCCCATTCCGAAACTGTTAACCGTTCGGGGCGCCATTGAAAAATGTGTGTCCCTGGCCTCCTTCACTTTTTCGCCTCCTCGGCCGATTTGCTCTGTTCCAAGATGACTTGGGCCGATCATTGCCCTTCTTGACCGATCAGCGCATTTTCAAAAAAGTGTTCGGGCTGTCGTCCGCCCCCCTCTCGATCGATCAGGGCCAACGCCGCAACCGTAGATCTTCAACGTAGACAAAGCAATTTGTTGGCACTCCATCAGATCTCCGTCAGATCCTATTCCATCTGTTCCCGTGCCACAAACAGCGCTCCCTCCAGTAGCGGGGCCTTGAGCCAAGACCAGGCAACCGCAGGAAAATCCAACAAGAATAAGAGGGGCGACAAAGACCCAAGGTGAAAACATTTAGAATATGTCTCCACCAAGTCTCGCGGACTTGTCCCCTTGTCCAGCGTGCGTGACACAGAGGACGATATTGGTACACGCCACAGCAGCCCTTTTCCTCAGAGAGTTGAAAGCTGGCCGCCAACAAATGAGCAGGCCCAAGGGTGTCTTCACGCTTGTAAGGGGTATGTGTTGCAGGAAAATTGTGTCCGGGCTATCGCTCGTCTCCTCGGTAACTCGGCCCCATTCCAAAACTGTTGCCCTTTCGGGGCACCATTGCAAAACGTGTGTCCCTGGCCTCCTCCACCTTTCGCCTCCTCGATCGATCAGCTCTGTTCCGAGATGAGTTTGGCCGATCCTTGACCTTCTTGACCGATCAGCGCATTTCCAACATACATCAGTGTTCGGGTTGTCGTTAGCCTCCTCGACCGTCCAGCGCCATCGCCGAAACCGTAGATCTCCAAGGTACGGACCACCGCACTGGATCGGCACTCCACCAGATCCTCTGTTACCTGTTCTCGTGCCAAAATCCGTTTCTCTCCAGCAGCGATGCCAGGGAAAATGACCAGGCGGCCGCAAGAAAATCCAAGAAGAATATGGTCAACCAGCTACACGGCAGGTGTTTCGGGAAACCTTGTGCTACTGTTGGTATCCGTTTGTTCAAAGATACCCGATGTGAACCACCGTGCCCTGTACGTACTCCTCGTACTGCCAACATGAATGCGACCAGCGGGGCAGACGAAGGCCACCATCAATCGGAACCTTTGAGCTTGCCAGTTGCTCACATCGAGCCGTTTTTCCTACTCTTGGCGGTGTCCTGCTCGTCTGCCTCTTCTGGTGCGACTTGTCCCCGCTGCGTGACGTGGAAAATTGAAAAACAAAAGATCGAAAATGAGAATATCACCCGCCATATAATGCCCGACTTACGCAACTGTCGCAAGCTGTCTAGTAGGTGGCTCTGATGGACATGATGTTAGTCAAAGTCACACGCACAATCCTCCTTGGTGGTCGCAAGCGGAAACGTGAGTAGTTGGATGATGGTTACGGAAACCATTTACGAACCTTTTGATCTGATCGGTCGAGGAGCTCATTTTTAGGCTAGATTTTTAGGTCATAAGCGGAAATCAGTCAGAGTTTGGTTGTGGTCACGGAAACCATAAATGGGTTACGTGCCTTAACCAGTACGGTGAAAATGCATCCGATCTCCATCTGCTCTCTTCCCCGTTGATTCCATTTTTTTTTCGTAAACCGTCAAGTGTAACACTAGCACGGACAGAAGAAGGTATTGGGCAGAGAGAACAGAAAGGCTTTTAACGTGAAGAAAACCACAACGACAACAACAAGGACAACAAAAACATGCTGAACCCACGTGTCGTTTTCGAAGTAGCAAATACTTGGCGTCGCCGTCCTCAAGTCGCCATTGTCGTCCACTAGTTCGCACAGACGCAATTGCTCGTCCGTACACTTCACCAGGACGTCTCCACGCCCTCGTTCCGCGACGGATAGCCGCACCCTCCGTCGAGGTGTGCCACCAGGCGAGTCGTTGCCGGATGACCCCCCTCCGTCTTGGTCATCGTCGTTGCCTGGTGCAGCACCAGCGGCCTTCGCCACGGCCTTCGCCCCGGCGCTTAGAGCTGGAGGTGTTAGGAGAGGGCGGATTAATATGAATCACCATGAGTTGGCTGCCGTTCCAACGTGAAAAACATCAAAACAAATAATGTGAACAACTTTAAAAATGACGGTTGGTCGCCGTTCCTAAAAAAAACCCTGATGAATAAGTCTGAGCGACAAAATAACATTCATGAGTCATTCACCGTTCCTTTATAAAACTGTCCAAGACTCTGTGAGCATAACCCTGTCCTCAATATATAGCACATACCGCCTATCGCCTATTGTTTGCTCACCTGCTGTGTTCGTCAGGATCTCAATCCTGTCTTTGTCGAGAAAGTTGGAAGTCCTGCACTCAATCCCGCCAAGGGTTTCGTCCATGTCGGTGTCGTGGCCTCCTCCACGGACAGCAGCATTAAGGCCCCGAAATCTTGCCGTCCTTGGCGGAAGTCCGTGCTTTTTCCTGACCGGCTCCAAGAATGAATCCACGATGAAAAAGGCAACGCAGGATGCCAAACCCTCTGCTGCCGATTCTTCACCTTCTGCTTGCCCCCCCCCGCACCCTTGTTGCCGCCTCCCGCATCCTTCTTCTGACCGTTATCATCGGCGCTATCTCCACCTTCGGTCTCGCCTCCGAGCTAAGCAACGAATCCAGGCGACGGAGTAAAGAACGACATCGTGCGACGGGGAGTAAAGAACGACGTCGAGCGACGGAGCAGAAAGATAGACATCACGCGACGGGGCTCGCGACGAGGAGGAAAGGACGATATTGACGAGGAGGAAAGGACGATATTGAGAGACGGGAATGTGTTTTTTCGGGGAGAGCGTTTGGAAAAAGTTGTTCGATGAAAACCTACGGTAGTAGAAGGAAACAAAGTCGACTGCCTGTTCCTGCAGGACGCAGTGTGCTCAGGCGGCTAACCATTTTGAGACTGAGCTCACCCAGTCTCGCCATGTCTGTCGCGAAAAGACCGTTTCGGTCCCGCTAGCGGACAGAAACGGCTGTTCTCCGTAGCCGGGTGGCGCCAAAACTGCCGTACTGGATGGATTAGGCTCGGAAGTGCCGCGACCCGTGATCGATTGCCTCCGTATAGGCCCTGACCCTCCGGCCTAATGACGTTTTCAGCGTTCAACGGTTGATCTTGTTTCCGGTTGCCGAGTCTAAGCGAGGGAGCGAAGCACCGCAAGTCGTACATGATGCCGAGGGGTTTGTGTGAGCATTTTCGCTCCAAGTTCGCTGTGAAGACCACCACGTTGGAGATTGTGGAGGCGATGGTGATATCTCTCACCACCAGAAAGCACGTTCAGCGTTTGACGGGTGATCTTGTTTTCGGTTGCCGAGTCTACGCGAGGGAGCCGGAAGCACCGAGCCAAGACAAGAGTGCGTTCCCGAGCGTCCCTCCGGAGTCCTTCCTCCGATCCCTCCCCAAGCGTCTCGAAGCGTGCCGCTTCCTCTTCGCTGACGAAGTCTGGCATGAGGTCGAATAGGAGTGTAACGTCGTCAGCCGGTGACCCCAAGGCCGACGGGTTGAGGTCCGTCCGCTGGTTCCAGGCGTAGTAGTACCAGCGGACGGACTCCAACCCGTCGGCCTTGGGGTCACCGGCTGACGACGTTACACTCCTATTCGACCTCATGCCAGACTTCGTCAGCGAAGAGGAAGCGGCACGCTTCGAGACGCTTGGGGAGGGATCGGAGGAAGGACTCCGGAGGGACGCTCGGGAACGCACTCTTGTCTTGGCTCGGTGCTTCCGGCTCCCTCGCGTAGACTCGGCAACCGAAAACAAGATCAAACGCTGAACGTGCTTTCTGGTGGTGAGAGATATCACAATCGCCTCCACAATCTTCAACGTGGTGGTCTTCACAGCGAACTTGGAGCGAAAATGCTCACACAAACCCCTCGGCATCATGTACGACTTGACCTTCTCCAATCGTTGGGTCCTCGCGGTAAGCGAAAGGAACTATTGGAGGGCGAACGTCTTGAACGGGTGCGCCGTTTCGGCTTCACCTGTATTTCCCTCCTCCAATTGACGGGCGCGCGACGAAGTCAACAACGCATTGTAAGAGAAAATGTACGCAACGATTGGGGGCTCCATTGGAGGATGCACACAGAACACCGAAACACGACGACAACTCGAAACGTATTTTCCGGCAGTTGTTCAAGACGTGAAGCTGGATACGACATCGGAAAAGACAATCCAGACATGCACATAATGTTTTGTTCGTGTGCATGAACCATGTTTTCAAAAGAGACAACCTTTTCTAAGAGATAACCTCTTCGCATCGGATGAGAGCAAGGAAATTGTCTATTCGAACGCGCGCGATACTGGTGATGGCCTGCTTGCCTTCTCAATAATTCCGGGAATTTCTTGAGGGAATCCACAATGAAGTTTGCGTTGGCCTTGATGAGCTCTTGGTGCTCGAGGTAGGTGAGCAACCAGTCGACAGGCTCGTGTTGCGGACACAAAGCGACCGCGAACACCAACATGATCGGCGACTGCTAGGTCGTGCTGATGTCAATCATGTTAAGGCTTTTTTTGACCTTGTTGACCAGTGCGGTCTTGATCTTCCTTTCTGCCTTTGAACAAGAGAAATATTTCGGAGGGAAGAATTTCTCTTGTTCAAAGGCAAGAGGGAAACTCAAGACCGCACTGGTCAACAAGGTCAAAAAAAGCCTTAACATGATTGACATCAGCACGACCCAGCAGTCGCCGATCGTGTTGGTGTTCGCGGTCGCTTTGTGTCCGCAACACGAGCCTGTCGACTGGTTGCTCACCTACCTCGAGCACCAAGAGCTCATCAAGGCCAACGCAAACTTCATTGTGGATTCCCTCAAGTAATTCCCGGAATTCCTGAGAAGGCAAGCAGGCCATCACCAGTATCGAGCGCGTTCGAATAGACAATTTTCTTGCCCTCATCCGATGCGGAGAGGATATTTCTCTTGTTCAAAGGCAGGAGGGAACATCAAGACCGCCCTGGTCAACAAGGTCAAAAGAAGCCTTAGCATGATTGACATCGGCACGACCCAGCAGTCGGCGAGGTTCCTTTTCCAATCTTCGCCGAACGCTTCGTTGGCGCGAACTGTGCAGATACTTTCCTTTATGTCGAATACCTGCCGGATGAGCGGCGCCATGGTCTTGGCCACGCCAAGGATTGATTGTTTCTGTGTAACATGCGACGAATTGCGGCAGAGAACATGTTGCAGGGGCCGGAAGTCAGTAGGTGCCAGTATGCACTTGGCATGTTAGAGTGATCGATGTGGCAAAACGAACAGTCTGCTCCGTAAGTTTTTGGGTCACCTTGTCCGATATGTGCAGGAGGAATGTGACCAAATTTACTCTTCAATGAGCCGCACCGATCACAAAAGCACGTTGTTAGTGACGTGACTTGTGATTCGGCATCAACTGTTCGTGGCTCCATAATGCAAGCTCCTCGATCAAGTAGCCAATCCTTGATCAAGCAGCCGTGTCCAAACGTCTGTTTTATCAGGAGGTATGCTGCAAGACGGTTTAGTGATTGCACAATTTCATCGTCTTGCACCTAGTAACTATGTTACGAGAGGGTTGGGTACTTCCACAACTCCATCTCCTAATTTCATCTCCTCGAACGATTATCTGCGCGGCTCACACGCCGTAAACCCGATGCCAATTCAAAGGATGCACAGTAGTGTAACGGCGAACATTGCCCTGCTCCAGTCTCTGCAAAGTACACATTGGTGGCTGTGAAATCGGTTCTTAAGCTTACGGAGCAACCAGTATATATTTTATTCGACTTGCAAGATGATAAGTGAATTGTACCAGTTGTGATTAGATACCTACTAATCGTGGTTTCACAATGCAAGCTCCTCCGTGAAGTAGCCCATCCTCGACCAAGTAGCCGTTTCCAAACGTCTGTTCTGCCAGGAGGTATGCTGCAAGACGGTTGATTGCTTCCACAAGTCCATCTATCTGCTGCACCTACTAGGCAGTATGATGCGGGGGTTGAGTACTTTCACAATTCCATCTCCTCGACCAACTATCTGCGCTGCTCACACGCCGTAAACTAGATACCAACTCAAAGAATGCACAGTAGTATAATGTGAACATTGCCCTGTTACAGTACTCTACAAAGTACACATTGGCGGCTGTGACATTGGCTAAGACTTACAGAGCAACCAGTATATATGTTCGACTTGGTATATGATAAATGAATGGTGACTTGTGTATCTCGAGATTCAAGAGTGAGCCCTCTCCTTCCTCGGAAGTAATCCTCGCCGTCGTGCGAGGCTCCGCCTTTCGCAAGTCATTCGCAATCGCGCTGGCCTCATCGTGGGTCAGGGGTGTATGTTGCGGGAAACCACACACCCATTACATCCCTTCAACGCTTTTTCCATTTCCGCTGCATCTGCGTTTACACCAAGGTCGTCATGGACACAAGCATTTAATGAATACTTCACAGGCATAACGAATCAAGGCGCTGAACAGAAGTTCGTGTCAACAAAAACGTGGCGCACGTCACCCGTACAAGGGTACTGCGTCTGACAAAGTCATGCATGGCCACCCCGTCGAAAACCTGTATGCCTCAATGCCGCGGTTGCAGCGAAATGACCAAAAACCGATAGTTGCCATCAATACCTCGTTCACCTTCCACATAGAACCCATACGTTGTGGGAATATTGCGGTGTTGGCGGCGGTCCAGCAGAATTTGAACGGAATCTTACAGACAGCCCGGCGCATGAGGTAGTTGTGTTGGCCTCTATGCTCCTCGACCGATGACCGGTCTAGTCCACTGTACCCTACGTATTTTGCCTCGTTGCTCCTCGACCGAACGGTTCACGATTCATCACGAGAGACAACCTATCGTTTCCTCGTTTTCCCTTTTCGCTCCTCCACCGACAACCACGTACTCAGGGTAGTGAAGCACACCTTACGCAATTTTTATGGTTGCTCCTCGATCGATCAGAGTATATTTGAGGGACGTACAAATGCTTGCCTCACTACAATTCCCCTTCGTTTCTCCTGAACCGATCAGAGTGTATTTACGGACGTACCAAATGTTTTCTTCGCTATTCCCCCTCGACGCTCCTCGATCGATCAGAGTGCATATACTGGTAGATACACCAAATGTTTTACTAGTTGTTGCCCTCATCGTTCCGCGACCGATCAGTTCTTAGTGAGGGATACTTCACGATTGCCTCACTTATCCTCCGCCGATAACTATGCATATAGTAAAGAAAACTGGAAGAGATTTTCCTTTCTGCTCCTGGGGGATAATCCATGTCTGACTGGTTGCTGCTCGACCGATCAGTGTGTGTTTACAAACGCACCTAATGTCCATGTAGCGCTATTTCCTCTCGATGCTCCTCGACCGATCAGAGTGCAGCTACAGATAGATGTACCCAATGTTTGCCTCCCTGCTCCTCCAGCGATAACTGCTGTGCATAATAGTAAAACAGATTTCGAAATGTTTTTCTTCAATGCTCCTCGACCATTCCGTGTGTGCAGAGGGATAATCCATGTCTAACTCGTAGCTCCTCGACCGAATAAGCCAAGGCTCACCTTTGACCCCCTGGAACACGCCTCCGTCCCGAAGCTCCCCGCCTCGCTCAAGCTACAGGCCCAATTCCTCGCAGTACACGGCACTCAGCATGGCGAACCGATGTTGACCTTGGGTCGTTATCATGCGCGGTCGGTGCTTTTCGAAGTCGAATCAATCTTTCCAAGCCCGAGGTCCTGCCCCAAATCGGATCGGCCGGCAAGAACAACGTTGTCCGGATCAGGAAACACCATATCCTTAGTTTGATCGAACAATCCCTTTGGAAGTTAGGCAACACCTAAACATCTTTGCCCTACTTCACTATGGTCCGAGGCGTTTCGGAAAGTTGGTTTCGGGTAGCAACGTTGACGGTAGGGTGGCCCGACCACGATGTTCAACGGTGGATGTCTCGCATTCGTTCTCGACGTTCTGGTAAATATTGAGCTCCGTGCGTTACTTCGCAAACTATCCCCAAATACCCAACAGCGATCCCAACGCGGTCAGAAACTACTGCTGCCGGTTGCATGGACAACCTTCGCTTCTACACGGCTATGACAACAGCCCCAAAGCACGTACCCACATGGATGCCCTCAAGGCGACGTCCCATGACATCTCGAGATCGGACCCCCGGGCGCTCTTAAGCCGCGCACAGATGTCCGTCTTGCCCTGTACGAATCAAGAGCGCAGGAACAAATGGTGTTCATGGAGGCTGCGGGAAAATATCAAGCATTCCCTAGAATAAAAACAGACGGACTGGTTTATTAGGCGGACGGGTTTCGACGGTAATGCCATTTGGCGAACCTTGTTTTGGTGATAGGCGTTAATGCGTTTTTCGGCGATTACGAGTTTGGCGGAGGCGATAGTACCACATTTGGGCGGTAAACTGTCGGCTGTGTTGCCAAACGGCGGTAATTGTTTTGACGGTAGTCTAGGCGGTATTACAAATTTCGGCGGTATCGACTTTTGCGGAGGCGGTGGAACAGAATTTGGGTGGGAGTTTTTCGGCAGTGACGCCATCCCGCGCCTACACTCTTGACGGTAGGCGGTAACGCGTTTTGTGGCGGTAACGAGTTCGGCGCAGGCGGTAAAACACAAAACAAATGGCGGTAAAACAGCGGACTACCGGGACTGCCCGCCTCGGCGGTAATTCACGGCGGGAATTGTTGCCATCGCCTACAACCACAACATCCAGCAACATGAAACAAGGCCGCAATGGCGGTGGTAAGTTATCGCGCCCGAGCAGACGGCAAACCACTTTGCCAAAGATTGATTGATCATGTACTTGCATGTTTTTTTGTCGTTTTGACCAGTGGCTTTCACATTTTAGCGTAAACTCCACGAAAAAAACATGTGCATCCGCGCCTCCTCCTCTCCCCGCCCACTCAATAGATACTTCATGCAAGAAACATGGCCGGAAAACTTCGTCCACACATGAACTCGAACTCCTGATTCACACTGCGGTTTTACAACAGTCAAGGCTAGATCTACACACTTTACGTACGTACATCGATACATATCATCGGCGTTTTTCATGAAGGATGGTAACTGTTTGGGCGGTAGGCAGTCCTACGATTCCTGGCGGTAACACTTGGCGGAGGCGGTTACACGGAGAAATGGCGGTAACTTTTCGGCGGCAATTGTTTTGGCGGCACGCGTAACGCGTTTTTCGCAGTCACGATTTTGGAGGAGGCGGTAAAACCTAAAAATGGCGGTAGAACGGCGGATTACCGGGACCGCACAACACGGCGGTAATTTTACGGCGGAAAAATCAACTAGAAAACACGAGTAAGCCCGTCAAATAAACACCTCCCCCGAAATGAGATGCAAGGTTCCGAAAACCACCCGTCAGTTGCCAGCTGTGTAGACTAGTTGCGCGAGAGTCACTCGTTCTGTTGTTCGACCGAACGCAGCTATTTGTTGCGTTCCAAGGTTTGCATCGCTAGCTAATGACATCAACACGTGTCACCGCGGTTCACATGTCTCACCTCGCTGTCTTTGGCTTTCTTGAGCGCCTCGTCACACGCATCCAGCCAGCCCGTCGGCGTCGTACAAGTAGGCGACGGCGAGGTCAATAGCACCGCCGTTGTCGTAGTGCTCAGGCACTCCTGCTTCACGACCTCTTGCGCAATTTTCATCACCGTAGCTGGTCTGAAGGCTTTGGTGTTTATGGCGAAGCGATCCCCAGCCTTCCCTACGGGCTTGTTGTCAACTATTTGTACCATTTCTCGTACGCCCAGCACAGCAACTGCTTCGCCGGTCCGTGACCGTTCTGCACTCATTGCCTCACCTGTCGGCATTCTGTAGCTGGCACTGTGCTGCTGTTGGCGTCCTTTCGCTCAGGGAGGAGGGTTGTGGTGAGTAGAGGGAGGGGAGGGGTCTAGCAGCGGTGGCGAGTGGTGGCAGCGACTACGCGTGATATTAATGGTTGAAGATAGAAGGCGCACAGGTGAGGTCAGCACCGTGCGCAGACCGAAACAATAATATAGGCTCCGTGGTTGTAGTTTGTCTGTGGGCTACAACAGTCTGGATAGGCCCTGACCTGTTATGCATGCTTATGTTTATGCATTACTGGGCTTTTCGTGCATAAGCAAAAGCATAAGGTGGAGCGCGCATATGTATATATTATGGATAAAAGTGTGCATAACAGGGGTTATCGTGCATAGCGGTGGTTAAGCACGAGTGAGATGGGGGTAAGGGGTGGCTCAGACGTTCAGACAGCTCATTGTAACCAAAACATAGCTTTTTTATCCCCTTCAAAGTCTCTTGGTCTTTTAACTCTTTAGTTTCAAGTTCACAGATCAGAAAACAAATTGTAGATCTGGAGATTGGAGATTCATTCGGTGTTAATTAATAACATTCGTTGTTTAAACCAACCTTGATTACTGTTGATTTAAACTACTTGACTTTTGTACAAGAAGAGAGGAGAGAAAAGACGCAAAGACCAAAGACCGCAGACCAAGACCACAGGAACACAGGACACACTGCGCATCACTAATTTAGCCATCCTCTGCCTTCATGGAGCGAGTGTTTTTTTTTCTGCGTGCGTGTATGGACCAGAGGCAGGAGTCGAGCTTCAGCGATCGCATTGCCGCAGCTGCCCTTCTCAAGTACAATAGAGGGCGCGGAGTGTAGTACGGGAGTACACGAGTTCACTGTTTTGCCCGTGGCGTGTGTTTGTGGTGTCTTGGATATGAGTCCGAAATATCGTATTCGAGGCGCTTTTCTTATACGTTGCTGTCATTTTTCTGTTTCGTTTCGTACTGCATGTTGTTGTTGTTTCTCACATTAGCTCTAAAAAAGAAAGATTGGGAGCCCGTGGTCTCAAAACCCGGCATACACGACCCCACGAAGAAACAGAAAAAAATAGGGTACAAAAACCACTCGGAAGAGAAACAAAATGATAGAAAGAAAGACCAGCTACCGCACCAAACGAGAAAGAGCGTCGAGGAGACCGATCAAAATAAAATAAAAGGAGAACGGGGAACGCTTCCCACACCCGCCTACAACGCCGGAGGGTTCCGTGCCGGGTTCCCGCCGACCAGGCATCCCCCGCCCTGCACCACACCCCAGGGGGTGCAGCAAGACGGGGGGCGAAAAACAAACACATATATATTTCCACAAAAAAAAAAAAATAAAAAATCGAAGGACAACGTACACCAGTACCAGGTACTACAGCAGTGCAGTATGCACCAGCGCATTAGTGTAGGGTAGGCACCGCACCAAAGAGGCAGCAGAGGTGGCAGGCAGCCAGCAAAGGAAAAAACAAAAATAACAAGGAGCTCGAGGTATCGTCCAAGATCATCGTAGAGAGGGCATGAAGATTTAAGAAAGAAAGAAAGAAGAAAAGCACAAAGAGAGGCCGGAGGCAATACTAAGAGCATACAGCTTACGGCAGGGAAAAGGGAACACAGGGTGCGACAACATCATCAGTTGGGTAC